GGAAAGGGGCTGATGTATTTTTAATAAAAGAGCTACATGTTACCAATCGGTGTTCGTTTGGCTTCATTTTTTTCTAGGTAGATGCATTGCAAATTGTAGTGATTGTGAAAGGAATTATCTGACGTTTCAGATATATTCTTTTCAAATACTGTTATGTTACACTAAATGATACATGTATGCCTTCTCTAATTCAGGGATGTCAAACTCATTTGGTCTCTGGGCTAGAACTGGATTGTAGAGCTCATTGTAGGCTAGATCTGGACCTGCCTCTAGCAGTCTGATGAGCAGCATTGGCATTAACCACCACGGGTGCCTGAGCCAAAGTGTCAGCTCATGGAGCCACAGGAGTTAATAAAGCCATTGATTGCTGTGCTGTGGCTGAAATGAGCCCTGGTCAGACTCTGTACCCTAGAATTTGGTGGCAGGGTGCTTGATGGTGATATTATTCACTGTGGCTCTCTGATCTGCTGTGTTAGGGATTAACACTATCACCGCACACCCCATCCCTGAATTCACAGCCCCTTCAGGGTCTAGAGTGTCACCCCCACTCTAGTGTAACTGTCCACAAAATTGTTTCTCCTAAGAGCACTTTGATAGATATTTTTTCTGTGGCTACTCAAAGTCGATTATTCTGTGTAATTATACCTACAGATCAATCTCTACCAGGCATCTAAAATTCTTTAATTCATTGTGTGGTCTTCAGTATGGGAAGTTTATGTCTCTGGGGTAATGGAAAAATTACCATTACAATTCACGTAATTGGCATTCAGGTTATTTAAAATATTACATTTTTAAAAATATTCAAATTGTACCCCTCAAATTAATTTCTGTGGCCATGTAGTGTTAATAAAAAAAAATTAAGGATTTGCTACATCAGTCATATACATACTTGAAAATACTGTGCCTTGAAAGTGTCACACCAGATGTAGAAATATTTTTTAGTGCTGAAAGCCCTTTAATGAAGACACTAACTATTGACCACCAACCATTCCAAACCAGGCATTTTGAGCAGGATTGTATCACCTGATGTTAACTGGCACAATTGGCCTTCTTGTGCTGAACCCCGGATAACGCTAAATAGTCTACAGCTTGATGACACCAAACTGTCCTTTAGACTTCACAGCCAATGATCATGAAGACAAATGAATATCAACAGAGCTTTACAGATCTTTCAGACCTAACATTGGAACCTCAATGTGCATCTGCCAACTCAATATTGAGGGGATAAGCAGAGCTGAATGTGAATATTTGTGCACAATTTGGGCAGAAAATTGCATTGGTGAACCACATCACCTCTGAATAATCTCTCTGTGCATTTAATGAAATTCTATTGGATTTGCACAATACTACACCTGAGGCAATCAGCTGCTGCAAAATTTGGACATAAAATTGTGATTTTGGTTTCCTTGCTTTGTGATCATTGTATCATCATATGCTAAAAAAAATTGGCACAATGTCACATGAAAGAAAAGTGATTTCTTTAAGCCAAGTTATAGACAGACATCAGTGTTTCTCAATTATTTTAATACTCAAGACTAATTTTATGTTTGAGATTTACTCTCAAATAAGGACCAACCCCCGCCCCCCTCTCTTTACACATATTTCACAGAGAAAGTTCAGTGGTTGGTTTCATATGAAAGTGGTATTGGCATAGTATTATGAAGAGAAAAATAGAATACACTCATTTGATGGCTGTAGGCTGCTTTGCTTCATTCCTAAATAATATCTCCTATTTGTTAATGATTTGTATTTACATCTGAATGGGTTGATTTCAACAGTGATTCAGCATGGTCTTTCTTAGGGGTAAAAGCACAGTCTATCCTTTTCTAGCTTACTTGCGTCCACAAAAGGGTATAAATATATAAACAAACCAGAAATGTATGTTTCACTCAGCAGAGCCAAAGGCTCCCGATGTAGCTGAAAATAATTGACCTGTACGCTTGAACATTAGTCATTGTTGAGAGAGAGACCATGACAGGTAGAACTGAAAGGGGAATAAAGCAAAATCAAGAAACCATCTCCTGATGCTTGTGGTTTGAGCAGAGGCCTACTAGCCTCTTTTTGAAAAGAAGTTGTCATTGTCCTGGTTTGTCTGGGCTTCAGTGAGTAAAACTAATTAAACGTCTGAGGGCTTTGGCCTTCTGTTTCTCCAGAGAGATGCTTCCATGTAGATTAGGCTATTGCAGATGAGGATCATAGTTCTTTCTTAAAAAGAGAAGAAACTCATTGCAGTGAAAAATATTAGAGGCAGCTTCCTGGCTGCCATAACTTAGCTTTCCCTTGTTTCACTACCTGAACCATTTCTACTGAACAGGATCTGAATGAGGGGAAATATTTGATATCATCCTCTCACGGTAGTTTTTACCCATGCTGTTAGGCTGTGATAGTGAACTCCATTCACATTGAAACTTTCAGATCCCAAAGAAAAAGTTACTCCTACCCCTACCTCATGATTGAACAGTTACGCACACAGCAGACTCTTGTGTGCATTCAGAATGGAAGGAAGAAATTAGTGTACATGTACACGAGGGTATGTGTAAAAGAGAGGAGGGAATTGGGATGTGCATGTAGAAGAATGCAGGGATCAGAAGCAATGAGAAAACTGACTAACATGCTCTGGCTATTTTTGCTGCTCTAGAAATGGACTAGAACATCGAGAACCCATGGATAAACCTCGCCTTAAGTTAGTCTTAAAGGTTGATATGGAATATGATCAGAATATTAGAAATATCACATGATAGCATTTTGGCTGACTTGTTCAGTGATCCCATACACATTTCTTAATAAAGACTATATTTAATTTGGATTAACCTTACAAATGTGTAAGGAATTTAAGGGTAAAAAAGTTATGGATCCTATGTAATTCATATCAGAAGCAAGAGTTCCAAACTCAGGACATTCAGAGTTAAATCTTAATCTTAAATGAAATTCCAATGTTTGGAAATACAGAAATGTATACAGAAATATGGAAAGCACTCGAAAATCATAGCACCAATCCCTAAGGATATGTTGAGATGGTAAGAGAAAAATCTGATGTGCCTTTTAAACTTAGCTTTTGACATCTCAGGTTAGATTAAAACTATTTTGCATTAATTATGATAGTATAATTGTGTAGTGTCATCACACAGGCTCATATAGTAACACATGGATGATTTATGTAGTAGCAGTATTTAAGATCCACTGCTAAATCAACAGTTGGTGATAATATGAAAGAGGTGAACTCTGTTTGAAACTGGAAGCTGGCATTATTTTTCTGTCAGAGTTGATTTTCCAGTATTCTGCTCAGCTGCATGAGTGACCAAGAAATTTTGGAATGACCCTAAGAACACGTGACTGTGAACAGCTACATTCTCACTTTCCCATTAGGTTAAAATGCCTAGATTTTATTATGCAAAAATAGCATTAAGTCAATAGTGGAATGAAGGCTAATGAGTGATTTTACATTTTAATTCCAGAACTTTGATCACTTTGATCCTGTGGCCTCAGGAAAATCTGATGTGTAGTTGTGATTGTACGTGAATTTTCTGTGTTGAAAAAAAGTAAACTGTTACGGTCTGAAAGGGAAATCTTCGTCTTTCGATTAACTATGCTACTGGCGTATTTCTCTTAGACCTTGGTGCCCTTAATTTTGTGGCCTCCTCTCATTTATGGCAGGTTTTAGGCTCACAGTGAGTCCAATTAGTGGGCTGCTTGGTAATGCCTCCGTCCCCAGGGTAGAACCACAGGGAAGCAGCCAGGCAAGCTGCCACATATATCCTTATAATGGGATCATGGCAAGGAAATAGAGAGTAATGTGGGATTTGCCTAAAATAGAGGTCAACAGCCTTTTGCCTGCACAGGCCAGAGCTTATGACCTGACTCTGGCTATGGGCTGAAAGTCTCCATCCTCCCCCAGAGCGGCCAGTAGCTGGCACTCTCTCTTGCTGCAGATTCCTGACCCCTCTAAGCTAGGGAAGCACACATGCAAAGCAGCAAAAGGCTCCTTAGAAGAGAGGAGTGCTTTCAAGGGGGTGGCTGGTACAGCGCAGTTCTATATCGCCTATCCTCTGTACTGTCTTGGACCTGTTTGAGAGCCAAATCCAGCCTGAAGGCTATATATTACCAACCCCTTAATGAATAAGGAGTGTGGACTAGGTGGGCTGAAAGCTTCTCCCACTAGGGGGCAGAGGCAATATCATTTGGCAGAGATATATCAAAGATATGGCCTGCAGTACTGCCTGTGTGTATTGGACAGGCTCCGTGTGGCACATACAGCATAGTACCCTCTTGACCAAGGGCCAGCTAAAGAAAAGACTAGAATCTTTGGAGTACTCAGGTCCAAAATAATGATAGAAAATGATCAACAGGCACCTAAATCTGGAATGTCCAAGGAGGTTAAAGTGTTCTGCCACGGGCATGCATGACTTTCTGGAGCTGATGTTAGATTGGCATTTATTCATTCTTTCATGTAGAGGGGCCCTTTAAGCAGCAGATGGTATATATAGCATTGGTAGAGTTGAAGCACCTTGGATGTTATAATCAATGTTATTTGGTCCAGTGATGATGTGGTGTGTGTTGCTGTTCAAGCACAACAGACATCTGGGTCTGCTGCAAATTATGGTGCTTCAACGAGAATGGAAATTATGTAGTTTATTGCTTGAGAGATGCCGTTTGAGGTTGTAGGGCTGCCTGTAAACCAGGGCAGAATAATCTCCCATGACTACCTTCAGATGGTTGTCTTTTTCCAGGAGGGGTTGGAGGTTATTAATGGTCTAAAGTGTTCAAGCTGGGAGGTGTAGGTAACGACCAGAATTGAACACTTATCTGACATCAGCTCTAGAAAGACACAAAGGCCAGTGGCAGAACACTTTGACCTCCCTGGACCCTCCATCTCTGACCTCAGGGTCTCTGTTCTTAGGCAGCAAACCTTTAGAAACTGATTTGTACAGAAATTTGCAGAACAAGAAATCATCCACAGACTGGATTGTGTTGTATATGGTTTATGCAAGGGACTGTACATATTTATCACATTACCTGGATTAGTTTTTCTGATCCCTTTGTTCCTATGGGCTCTTGGCTTACATGCCTCTCTCAGCACTGCCCTCTTCCCCTTCCCCTTCCCTTTATAACTTTTGTATTCAAATAACTCTCTCCATTATGTACAGCGCTCTGTGCATGTCTTTTCACAGCATCTGATGAAGTGAGCTCTAGCTCATGAAAGCTTATGCTATTTATCTCTCTAATTTAGTCTGTAAACTGCAAATCTACCCTGCCTTCTCCTTGATTTCAGATTAACACAGTGACTGTCTTAGTACAGTTACTTTTAAAATGTGTTGCCAATAACGTTGTTCACTATTTTAAAACTAATTTGCCACACACAATCTTGTTGTTTGTTGTATCATCTTGAACACATCATAATATAGGTTATGATGGTTTCATTGTGATATGGACAGGGCATTACAGGGTCTGCTACAGACTTTCCAAGGAGGTTCTCATGTGTGTATCATGTTGCTGTTGTATTCTACGTGTCTGCTACTGAAAAAAGGAAGAAAAGAAAGGAAGCTTGACTGTATTTTTGTTTTAGTAACTGACATTGACATACTTATGTGTTTGTATTGAGTGAGATTGTCAAACTCACAGGTGCCTGTATTCTCTGCATGTGCAACACTCCACCAGAGATGCATGCAGTTGAATGTTTATTAAAATCAAATGACCGCAGGTGTGTGTGTTTGAAGTAGCATATCCCCTTACTATGCGCACCTGTTTGAAGGATCACACATTGCAAATAATAGGTGTATTATGTATTTGGAGACTTGCATATTTTAATTTGAATGTGCAGTTTTATATTTGAATGTGCAGTCAATTATCAGACTTGAAAATCTCTGAAGGGTATGCTGACATATAGTCATAAGAGCCATGCAGTTTGTTGAAACCAGTGTAAGATTTTATGGTAGGAACAGCATTGCAGTTATTGTTGGACAAGTTGTGCCTGTGTGCGCCCTGGAACAGAAACAGTCCAGGATTGATGTGTACACACAGTGCCCCATTAATCAGGGTGTACTGAGTGGCTGAATGTGTTGCTTTTCTGCCATGGATTCGTTGATGCAATCTCAGGATGACCATTCAGATACACTTTGCAATGTCCTGGGATAAACTGTTAGTACTTCTTATCCCATTAATCTTTTCAAGATTTATCCCAGGACAACAGACATAAATGTCTAAACAATTTTGCAGTTTGTCCCAGGATAAAATGGTTTATCCTGGGATAAATATGATGTCTGCTTATAGCTTTATTGTCATATTTCCCAGCGGTACAAACAATTATGGCTGGTGAAAGTTTGCAATATTGAGTATCCAGGATTCAACAAATCCAGATGCATCAAACAGGGCTTTGTAGTTACAGTGTGCCTACTCTTCATGATGGTGTAGTTTAAGTCATAATAAAATCAATTTTAGTACCTCTTGGTAGTAATCTGTGCTTCAGGCATTTGAACTTTGTTTATAAAATATCTTTTGGTGTCAACTTCAAATAAAATGGATGGAACTGGGCAGAGAAAACTAATTCTGCATTGTGGAGGATTTAGACATTTTGCAATACGATTTCATTCAGATCGAGTGTACTAGTGAACTGTGTATGCATGTATGTGGTTACAGAAATAGAAAATGTGCATGTATTAATATAATGTGAAAGTATTGCAGATCTGTTGAAGATTTTATGGAAAATTTACAAATGCAGGAACTAAAAATAAATATTACATTAAATTGTTTGGGAAGGATATTCATGTAGAACATTCTAAGTTGCATATTTTGTAGACTTTTTAGTAAATAAATGCACTTTAAAAAAAACTTAAAAAATTACAAACGTTCATTTTGTTTTTTTGACAGCTTTTGATAATCAGTTCCTCACATTTCAATTGAAATCTATACATTTTAGTACATTGGTTACTATAAACCTGGTGAAACATGCTTCTCACTATTTTAACTTCCTAGATGTTCTGCTAAAGAAATTGGATGGTTTATTTAATGTTGAAGTTGGAACTACAATAAATGTATTTCCCTAAGGATATTTTACTTGCAGAATATTTTAATCAAGTTCTTCTAGAATGCCTGATTAATGAATAAGAGTATAACTGGGAGGACTGAATGTTTCTATAGCCAGGTGCTTATTTTGCATTCTCATTAAATTATTTAATATTTTAAACAAAGAATACAGTGATTAAGTAATATTCTCTCTGTAAAATTGTTTGATAGCTATGTGTCTATAATCTCTAGCTATTAACGGGATCATTTTGTTAAGTTGTCAAACGTATTAATGTGGAAAGTCCAGAGATTTCCAAAGTTCTGTCCTGGTCGGGTTTCAGCATCAGCTCATATACTTCCCAGAAAATAAATTGGCAAACTTGGTAAAGGTCACTAAGTAGAAAAAATACAGCCAGCGTAGTTGTGGAAGATTGGAAAATTCATTAATTATTTAATATCTTTAGCAAACAGAATAAATTACTTCCAAAAGTCTTTTCAAACAAAGCTATAAACTGTCATTTTAAAAAAGATGATCCCGAACAGTTTTGAGTCCTTCGGTGCCAACCCTGCAAAGTACCTACACCTCAATTCAGCAGAGTAATATCCAGAAGGACCACCTATCCAACATTGTTGCTGTTGTGGGGTTTACAGATGACAGCTAAAGTGTTTACAGTAAACTTTTTTATGCCATTGTTTTGGGTTTCAGTTTAGCAATGACCATTGCTAAACTGAAACCCATGGAAAAGTACAAGAAAGCATTTAAATGTGCTTAACTTCTGCAGTATGACTCCTCTTATTGAATAAGGTCCCAATTTAACACAGTTCTTAAGTATACATGGTTGCCATACTTAGTTGAATTGGAGCCTTATGTTGCAGGACTACTCCCATGCATAAACTTAAGCATATGCGTAATTGTCTTGCTAAATCAAGGTCTCAGATTTTAAATCTGTTGTTGTTGTTGTTGTTGTATTTGGATGTTTATGTAAAGCGGGAACTAGTACAAGGAAAACAATAGGAAACAAGTGAGCAAAAGGTCTGGTTGCTTTTTTGGGTGTTTTTTTTTAAAGAGATAGTGCCTTTGTTCAGGGTTAAGTTTGAGTTACAAATGGATTGCTATGGTTTGAAAGTCAATAGAGGACTGTTTTAATATAACAGTGAGAAAATTATTCTATGCCAAATTTCTTTACAGTTTTGTAATATTTTCTGTACTTCTTTCTACTTCCTATACAGGAAAACACAGCATAGTTCTCTTGACCAGAGTTCACCTCCCCAAAGTGGAGTATCAGGTACCTATAACCACCCTGTACTGGGGATGTATGATTCCAAAGACGACTTTCCACTCAGAAAAACAGGTAAAACCTACAATAATATTCTACTTGCCCTATTTAAATGTGGTTTTCTTCATTGTGACACACATTCCTTTTTCAAAATGAGTAAATAAATCTTAACCCAAAAAATTAGTGTTACTTAGTGAGGTAATATTTTAAACAAGTTTTTTCTTTTTCTTGTGCACTCTCATCCTGTAGAAGGAATGAAGAATGCATGGCCCTACCTTTTGTTTGACTTCAGATAAACACAGCTAACTATCTCTTTCTGCCTTAAAAACTATGGAAGGCAATTTATTTTGCATCAAATCTGAGACTGTCATTATTACATGGAAAAAAATAATATCCAGATTTGACTGTCTAGAATCAATATGTTTCATTGAATAATTAAGTGTTTATTTCTTGGTGGTTTTCTTAAAAGGAGAGGAAGAGAGGGAGAGGTCAGAGATCATGGGGACTTCACTGTAACTAAACAGTAGGGCTGTGCAAAGCTTCGGTCCCTGATTGAATTCGGCAGAGAGTCGGCCCAATTCGGTGGCCAAATCTCCGAATCCGAATTGAATCAGAGGACCCTTTAATCTCACCGAATCGAATCGGAGCCTTCTGAATCTATTTGGAAAGATTCGGAGATTTGGATGTTGACACAGCTTTAAATGTTCTTTCTACGTACCTTTAGGTAGCAGGCGGCTCGTGAATGCTGCAATGCTGGGGCGCATGGTGTGTCCCACAGGAGTGCAGGGGACTCCCCAGCATGCTTGGCAGCAGACCCGGAAGTGAACCATAAGCATTTCCGGTCCACTTTCGGGTTCACCGGGGAGCATGCTGGGGCCCCTGCCCCACACCCCTCCTGCTCGGCGACTGGTGCCTCCTGGGTCTGGAGGGATACCCAGGGTCCCCCCACGGCCAATTGCCGAGCTGGGTGGGCCGCGAGGGGTCCCCCCCATGTGCTTGGCAGTAGACCCGAAAGTACTTTTTGTTCCACTTTCCTCCCGCACTCCTGTGGGATGCTCCGCGGGAGCAAGCCACACTGGTATCTTGAGGTATGTAGAAAATTTTTTTTAAACTGTCCATGTCCGAATCGCTGATTCTTTGAATCAACTTTGAATCTTCAGGTTCGTATTTGGCCAAATCAAATTGGGGACAGTGATCTGAATCAACTAATCGAATCGCCCGCTTCACACACCCCTACTAAACAGTTACTTTTCAGTTATGCTGTTTCCTGCAATGTGGTTGAGGGGGTTTATTTCTCCATGATACATTATGTAAATTACTATATTTTGATTGGCCACTATCATTAACTCAGTGTCATATGCCAAAAACCAACATGCAACCTCGGGTTCTAATATCACCATCCTGCAAGCTACTGCTACTTCCTTCAGGGAATACCTAAACCCTGATAGATTCCTCTTGATTTCAGAAAGAATTGTGACTGAAAGGACTGTATACATAGTATTGTGTGTTTTTAAGTGACTTTTTAATGCCCAAGTTTAACTAGGAGAGCTGCTCTTTTTGAGAAGTCAAAATAGAGGTAAAAGGAAAAACCAGGGATGCATTTGAAAAAAAGAATTTGAGAGCTTCTGTAGGTTTCTTTTGAAAACCACTATTTACAGGGGAAATCCTATAACTGTAGATTGGATGAATCTTTGCATTCTGTTTGACTAACAGCCACTAGCCAAAAAGCACTTAGAGATTTGCATGGTCATGTTTTGAATATGTCAATGTGTCTAGTGCAATTACTATAATCTCTGCTCTGATTGGTTGCCAAGCTTTTGGCAAAGTCTGATTGGTTGCAAAGTCTGTTTATTTGCAACTGACAGCCACTCTACTTTCACTCTTCTGAAACCTCAAACTCATTGAATACTTAAAGGGAAAAGAAAAAAGCACAGCACAATGATAAACTGGTGTTGTACTTATATTCCTTTATATACATTCAGATTAAGGCAAGTGAAATATTTTTACTCTGTTTTAAGTAAAGTATTTTGTGAAAACTTAACAGGTATATCCAAAATTATTAACTTCAGTTACAAGAAATCTGTATGTATGTTAGCTGTGTTTCAGACAGCTTCCCTGTGTGAAGAATCTGGCCCAATCCAGTTGTGCAATATTGTCTTAATGCTTCTGAACTGTGGTTCTCCAGGGATGATGATGTTCTAAAGTCACACCCATGGTTCACATTTAGTTAGCATGAGTCCAGTAAGTCTGTCTGGATCTCTGGGCCATCCCTATAATTCATATATTTTATTGAAAAAATTGAGGATTATCCTTCAAATTTATTATATAGTCCCAGATTCATTTTTCTTGTACAACTAAGGTAAGATCCATCAGAAAAGAAAGTGGAGTATTATTACATTAGTTTTACATCAGCTCCTGAGAATTGCATTTGTGAAATATAGATATAGCGCTCTATATATCTATACACACACACGTGCGCGCGCGCGCGCACACACACACATTTTGCAAATATATATGTATATATACATTTTGCATAAATATATTGCAAATATATACATATACATTTTGTAAAATATACATTTTGCAAATATATTCTGTAAATTGTTTCATCAAGTGTTTGATTGTATTCTGTCACTTATTGTATCTAACATAGTCTTTGCCCAGTAGTCTGTCACTTTGTAAATAACAAATTGTTGTTTCTATTAAAGCCTTCCAACAGTAGAATTTTAAATGGAACATGTATAATAAATTACTTTTAAAGTTGTCACTTATTGTTCTATACATTGTAGAATGGTGTCATTGTATTTTTCTCAGCTAGTCGCATTATATTTTTTCACATTACTCTGCCAAAGGTAAACTGTTGTCATTTTGTGTAAATTGAAAGAGGTTTCTCAGTTAGGGATATTTATGAGAAAAAGATGGGGGAGGTATTCTGTACCATTTGTAATAACTTGTAGCATTACTCAGTGGATAAAAGAACAATGCAATATTTATAAAGTTTTTACTTCAGTGTAGTGTGGATGCATCTGAGCTAACTACACAAGCTGGGTTGGGTAGCAATAGCAGTTTAGTTGCATTGGCACAGGGCTTCTCTTGGGCTACTTCCCCAGTTATTTAACTTGGTTTTCAGGCAAATGTTTGCAACCCTTGCTTTAGCTTTGTACTGCAAAAGCTGCTAGTATCCAAGCTAGCTAATTTATCTACACCAAACTGCAGTTACAACAGTGACTGCTGTGTAAATATACCCTAAAACTTGTCTGCACCCGAAATAATCAGACTTCAAATGAAAAGAGAGAAGTCTATGTGCTTTCATTGATGGAAATAGGAGGGAGAAATTGGACTGTTGAAGTTTTCACTTAAATGTAGAAAAATTTTGGCTATTCTGCATCTTGGGGACAGTTGTTAGTCACAGAATAGAAGCTGCATTATGACATTTTTGTCCATGCTTGTGCTTAGCTGCATCTCTACCATCCCTTGTACCCTAAAATACATCGGAAATGAAGCTGTAAGTTTACATTTATTTCCAGCAACAGTGACCCAGTGCCCCCAGAGAAGAAACTGAGTGATCAAAAAGTCAGGTTAGTATTCCAAACCAAATTGGAGGATGTATGTTGGAGATGTTCATATATTTGCCAGATGTCCAACAGACTAAACTAAATCTTTGGCCGTGGCCTCTGCCAAAAAGTCAGCTGCCTGTTTGACTTCCACTAAAGATGAGACAAGGCTGGGTTAATTCCTTGGGAAATGAGGATCATATGTATGCCTTTAATCTTGCTTTTCCAGAGCGTATCTTAAGGGTAGTAAACATTTTAATAGCAATTTTACGTCTTTAATTTTAATTAAGTGGTCTTTTTTCCCATGTAGTCAAATACTTAAATACTGTTTTGTCCTATGTGTAACGTGAGCAGATGTTGCTGTTCGTTAGGGAAAGCTTACCAGCGGTAAGCATAATGGCATATGCGAGTAAGATTTTAGTGTATGTACTAAAACAGAGGAAAAGTTTCTGTGTGAAGGTCACTATGTTCCTTTATAGTTTCTTGTTATAAAAAGGGGATACTCTGATAACTTTTGGTATGACTCACTATGGGCTTTTTTGAAAAATTGGATCTTCTAGGGACAGGACAGGCAAGTTGTCAGACTGGAGAGAAACGCTGGGGAATACCTATGGCAGGTGCCTTGCCTCATTTCACACTGGAATTGCTTATTATCTTAAGTAATATTTTATAGGTAGTAAAGCAGTGTGATTGAACTAGGAATTTGCCAATGTATTCAAACAATATGACTCACCCAGCTGCTAGAAATGTCTTTCCATTTGGTGAGGCCTCATGGAACCAGAACTAGATATGCACAATGTTATATATGTTTGGGAAAGATAAGTGCTGTAGAAAGAGGTGGGGGGTGGCGAGCAGGGTGACTGCCCTAGGCGCCACAGCGAAGGGGTGCCAATAGGCACTGCCCAGCCGGGGCAGGGTGCAGGACAGAGCTATGAGTGGCTCATTTGGGGGTGCACAGGGACAGAGGGAGGGTGGCTCCCACCACTGCGTGCACTCCCAGGCAAGCTTGGGGGGGCCATGTGCCCCCTGGATCTGTTCGCGGGCCGAGGGTGGGCTGCTGCTGTGCGTTTTACCCCACCTGCCAAACTTCCTTGCCACAGTACTGGGAAGGGCCAAGATATATCTATCTATCATATGTAGAGTATTCTAAAGCATTTCAGGGTACTAGAAAATGTTTGGTTTTCAATTTCTGGATGACTGGACAATTCTAAGTGTTTTCATTATTATTGCTAGGCCTGCAAAAACTTGCGGTGTCATCTTTTTTGTTCCACTCAAAAGAGGATTAAGAATCTGGATACAGCTTTCTTGGCCATAGAACTCCCTTCTACAAGAATCAGTAGATCTCCAAGTTTCCAACAATTGGTTCAGGGGCCATTTGTAAACATTCCAGTGTGGACTTGAACTTTCATTTAAAGAAGTTTCAGGTACTGATCTTACTATCTGGTTCAGCATTGCAGGCTAACCTACACTCCGTGATTTTTGGGCTTCCTATTCCTGGAACAGGAGGACTTTCCCAGCCCA